TGATTTTTCTGTTAAAGGTTATACATTTTAATATGATCTTTTGGTTGATTTATATAAAGCTTTGGATTTTTCATTTTCTCAAGCCTGTCACTTCAGTGATGTATAGTACATTTTAGCATCAGGTTTGCCATAAGCAATAAAGTCAGGGCCCCATAGAAATTTTAATATATTTCCCCATTTTTAACCCAGAGCTTTCCATCATTCAGTTATTTTGTTTGGGATCCCATGTTTAGTTCATATCATTTTTACACTCATATAAATAATTTAAGGTTTTAACTCAGAGGTATAATTTCAGTAGATTAATTATTTAATAGAAAAGTTTAAGGGTCACATGTAAAGTGAAAATCTAGATGATAACTTAAAATTTACACTAACAATCTCTCTACATGTTGTATTTTACATTCTAGTTTATTTAGAGCATTTTTCTCTAGCAAGATCAAAAAAGATAAACAAGAAAGGACTCTCATTAAATGGTATGCAACATGAAATAGAAACCCATGTCTCTAAGATTCTATATGAAGAAAAAAATTAAGTATGAAAATAATAATCAGTTAAATTAAAAAGTTCTTATTGCAGAACTAATAGCTGTTACAGAGGGTATGAAGATAAAAAGGAATAGTCCTCAAGACATCTGCAACCTAAAAGAATAATAAGTCCTTACATAACTATAATATAAAGCTGAATAAAGTGCTTGTACGAAGAAAGGAAGAAACAAAGTGTTATAGCAGTTCATCTTATGTGGCTAAATGTGTAAGAGTACTTGAGTTCAATCTCGCATGTGGGTAGGATTGTAAACAGTTAAAGGGAAGAAGAAAGGAAAGCAGATAAGATAGAACAAACAAAGGCAAGAGAGGACAGAAGCAGAAGGCATAATAAGAGAGTATCCATTGGTTCAGTATTATGAGAACGAAAGATACATGTAGGGGAGTCCTGAGAGCAAGACTAAAACAGCACATTATGTCAATATATCAGATGGCCTTCAATTCATGGCTGGTCATCTTATTCATTTAGAAAATAATTTAGCACTACTGTGAAATTTTGTGCAGGAAAATAAATATTAGAAAGAAAATCAATATAGCAATGAAATTAAATGTGGAGAGTTAAAAGTAAGGAGTCCACTTAAATTAGTTGTATACTGGCCAAGAGTTTGGGCAAGATACACCTTAAACCAGAGAGATGGGCACCGGAATGGAATGATGTAAGAGATATATTAAAACTAGAATATAAAGGATTAGATAACCAATTGAATGAATGTTCATGGTAAATGAGAGATAGCTTAAGAGATGATGCCAATATTCTCTGCCTCAATTACTAGGAGGAGAACAGTTGCATTACATAACAAAAAACAGGGAGTAAGTACACTTGGAGGGGAAAATGAGTTCAAGCTTTTTTTTTTCTTTTTTTGAGACTGAGTCTCGCTCTGTTGCCCGGGCTAGAGCGCCATGGCGTCAGGCTAGCTCACAGCAACCTCAAACTCCTGGGCTCAAGCAATCCTTCTGCGTCAGCCTTCCGAGTAGCTGGGACTACAGGAATGAATATATATTTTAATTGTCCAGCTAATTTCTTTCTATGTTTAGTAGAGACGGGGTCTCGCTCTTGCTCAGGCTGGTCTCAAACTCCTGAGCTCAAACGATCCACCGGCCTCGGCCTCCCAGAGTGCTAGGATTACAGGCGTGAGCCACCACGCCCGGCTGAGTTCAAGTTTTATACGTAATGATATTAATACATATTGGTAGCTATGCCCAGTAGCCAGTTAGAAATAAGGATCTAGAGTTAAAGCGAAAGAGTAGATATTAATAGGAAAACTAGAAAGAGAGTGACTTGAGAACCATATGCATAAAGAGGTAAAAATTAAACTTGTGAGAAAAGAGATAATTCCAGAAAGAGAAAATGTTGAAAAAGAAAAGAATGGATCCATAAAACGAACCTGAAGCATATGTACAAGTTGAAGGTAAGAAGAAGAGAGGCTACTGAAGACAGAAGAAATCTTGAGAGAGGTAGAAGTAAAGTCAGACTAGTACAGAAACATACAACCGTTATAGAGGAAATTTTCAAAGAGATGGTGGCCATTGTTATCAAGGAAAAGGATTAAAGATTATAAAGACTGAGAAAAGGCCAACAGCAGTTCACCAAAGCGATTAAGGTCAAGCTAGATTGCAAATGTGTTATAGAATAAACGAAAACTGAAGGAATTTAGGGAACAGATTGCTTTTGAGAATAATATTCAAGGTACCACATTCTAGGTCTTACTGTTATTTGAGATGGAATGTGGTTAATCTGTTCATATGAGTTTGAAGCAGCAGTGTGATTTTGATAAAATATGTGGAATAGTACTTATCATTTTTGCTCTCCAGCAGTTATTCATTTTTCTTTTGGTAATCATAACTTTGTTTTCCCTCTAAACATCCCATTCTCCACTATATGGGTTGGCTCAGAAATAAAGCTGGTGACTTAACCGAAGTTTTACCCTAGATCCTATGACTGATTCAGGGATGGGTATATCAGCTAACTCAAACCAATGAGATGCAATGGAATTTCTGGGAAACCAGCTCTCACTATTTCTGTCTGGATATATTCAAGAATACTACCACGAAGCCTGTTAGTTTCAAAAACAAAACAAAAACAAGAAAAACCTCAAACAGTTGTAACTGAGGCAACATGTAACATATTAAGTTATAACAATGAAGTTAAAAAAAGATATCTAACAAAATTCCAACGAATGAAATCAAAGAACTAAGTAAACGAAGAGCTATTATTTGTTCATGGATAGAAAGACTCAACATTGTCAAGATGTCAATTCTTCCCAACTTGGTCTATAGATTCAACACAATCCCAGTCAAAATCCCACCAAGTTATTTTGTGGATATTAAAAAATTGATTCTAAAGTTTATTCAGAGAGGCAAAAGACAGAGAATAGTCAACACAATATTGAAGAAAAAGAACAAAGTTGAACAACTAACACTATCTGACTTCAAGACTTACCATAAAACTACAATAATCAGAACTGTGGCACTGGCAAAAGAACAGACAAATAGATCAGTGGAACAGACTACAGAGCTCAGAAATAGACCACACAAATATACAAAAGAACAAGGCAGTACAATGGAGAAAAGACAGTCTTTTCAACAAATGGGGCTGAAGCAACTGGATATCTACACATAAAACAATGAATCTATACCCAGACCTTATGTCCTTTACGAAATTTAATTCAAAATCTATCATAGACCTACATGTAAAACACAGAGCTATAATACTCCTAAAAGATAACAGAGGGAAAAATCTAGATGACCTCAGGTTTGATGATGACTTTTTTAGATACAACACCAAAAGCATGATACAAGAAAGAAATAATTGATAAGCTGGGCTTCATTAAAATTAAAAACTTCTGCTCTGTGAAAGACACCACTAAGAGGATGAGAAGATAAACCATACAGAATGGGAGAAAATATTTGCAAAAGACAAATCTGAAAAAGACCTGTTATCCAAACTATACAGAGAACACTTAAAACTCAATAACAAGAAAACAAATAACCCAATTAAAAAGTGGGCAAAGGACATGAACAGAAACTTTTCAAAAGAAGTTAGACTAATGGCCAAGAAACATATGAAAAAATGCTCGACATCTCTAATCATCAGGGAAATGCAAATCAAAACCACAATGAGATATCACCTAACTCCAGTGAGAATGCCTTTTATCAAAAGTCCCAAAACAGGCTGGGTGTGGTGGCTCACACCTGTAATCCTAGCACTCTGGAAGGCTGAGGTGGGAGGATCACTTGAGGTCAGGAGTTTGAGGTGCTAGGTGAGCTATGCTGACACCATGGCACTCTAGCCCAGGTGACAGAGTAAGACTCTGTCTCATAAAAGAAGAAAAAAAGTCCCAAAACAACAAATGTTGGCATGGATGCAGAGAGATAGGAACACTCATACACTGCTGGTGGGACTACAAACTAGTACAACCTCTATGGAAAGTACTATGGAGATACCTCAAAGAACAAACCATAGAACTACCATTTGATCCAGCAATCCCACTACTGGGTATTTACCCAAAGGAAAAAAAGACATTCTATAAAAGAGATATCTGCACTCAAATGTTTACAGCAGCACAATTCACAATTGCAAAGATGTGGAAACAACCCAAGTGCCCATCAATATTTGAGTGGATTAACAACATGTGTTATAGTATACCACGGAGTACTTCTCAGCCATAAAAAATGATGAATTACCTCTTGTATGATCCTGGAGGGAGCTGGAGCCCATTCTTCTAAGTGAAGTATCACAAGAATGGAAAAACAAACACCACATGTACTCACCATTAAATTGGTAATATTTGATCAACACTAACGTGCACATATGGGAAGTAACATTCATAGGGTGTCAGGCAGATGGGAGGAGGGACGAGGGGATGCATAAATCCACACCTGATGGATGTGGTGCACGCTGTCTGGGGGATGGGCATGCTTACTGGGTGATGCAAAGGCAATTTATGTAACTGAAGTGTTTATACCCCCATAATACTCTGAAATAAAAAATTAAAAAAATAAAAATAAAAATGGGCAAAAGATCTTAAGAAACACCTCACCAAGGAAGATATACAGATGGCAGAAAAACAAACAAACAAACCCCAAGATATTAAAAGACGTTCAACATCATATATAATATAGGGAATTGCAAACTAACACAATGAGATAACACTTCAAACCTACTAGTATGGCAAAAGTCCAAAACACTTACAACACTCAGTGTTGGTGAGGATGTAACAACAGAAACTCTCATTTGTTGCAGGTGGGAATACAAAAGAGTACAGCTACTTTGGAAGGCAGTTTGGCAGTTTCTTACAAAACTAAATTGTGCTTCTTGGCATTTACACAAATGAATTGAAAACTTATGTTCACACAAAAATTTGCACATGGATGTTTATAGCAGCTTTATTCGTAATTGCCAAAATGCGGAGGGAACCAAGATGTCCTTTAGTAGGTGCATGGATAAAGGGATATATTCAGACAATGGAATATTATTCAGCACTAAAAAGAAACAGCTATCAATCCATCACAAGAAATGGGGGAATGCAAATGCATATTAATGAGTGAAATAAGCCAATCTGAAATGGCTACATACAGTATAATTTCAACTACATGACTTTCTGAAAAAGCAAAACTATGGACAGTAAAAAGATCAGTGGTTACTAGGGGTTAGAAGAGAGGGAAGGATGAATAGGTGAACACAAAGAATTTGTAAGGCAGTGAACTATTCTGTATAATATAATAATAGTGGATACATGTCATTATACATTTGTGAAAACCCGTGCAATGTATAACACCAAGAGTAAACCCTAAAGTATACTGTGGACTTAGAGCCATAATGGTCTGTCAGTATAGGTTCGTCAGTTGTAACAAATGTACCAGTCTGTTGCTGGGTGTTCATAGTGGGGGAAGACGAGTGGAGGCAGAGGTATACGGGAACTCTGTACTTTCTGCTCTATTTTGCTGTGAACTTAAAACTGTTCTAAAAAATAAAGCCTATTTTTTTTTTTTTAAATTGTCTAAGGTCAACGCAGTAATACCGAAAAATTACATTTTTAAAATCAGTTATAAAGTAACAAGAGTTAATGACATTTTTCTTGATTGTGCAATAATGTTGAGACTCTTGAAACATAAATATGTTCAAAACAAAAATGATACATCACTTTGGTGACATCCAGTAGAATAAGTTTGATTGGCTAAATAAAGTGACCACATTTTCCTCTTCATTTTCAAATGCCTCTGTATCATGACATTACTGGCAGAGATGGAACAAGAAAGACAGAAGGAGGAAAAGAAACTAGTGTGATGGAAGAAAAGAAATGTTACAGAATGAGGGTTACAGATGAAGTAAAAGGAAAAATAAGAGGCACATCTCACACAGAGGTCATTGGGAGGATGTGTTAACAAAAAAGAAAGAGTGAATCCTGAGGAAGTTGGCAATAATAATGAACAAGCCATTGACATTTTAACGATTAATAAATGGTTCCATTAGCTTCTTCTGATTAAGGTATGTTTTTCTAAGAAATAAAGAAAAGGTAATGAGAAAAAAACAATCATAATAATTGAGAAAATACTATGTAATTTCTTTGTATAGAAATGGAAGCTTAGTGAAAACAATGTTCAAAAATGCTTTTCAAGAATTATGAATATAATTAGATGTTCTGTAGTTGTCAGGCACTGGGGACACCTAAAAAAAAAAGAAAGAAAGAAAATGCACCAAATTTATTCAGTGTCAGTGAATATCCCACCTTAAAGAAGTAACACTGCGATCTGCAATAACACAAATGGACCATGAAGACCACTGAAATACCAAAACAACAAGGTGGCATGTGTCTAAATAAAAATCTGGTGGTTTTGGTTTTCTGTGTGTTTACACAGCAGCAAAAGTTGCAGAAACCTAGAAGTAAAGTTGAGTCTGAAAGATGTTTGGGTAGTATAACTTCACTCTCTTGAGGGTTACCAGAGTTTTGGTAAAAGGTCACCAATAGTTATCACCCAGCCCAAATCAATGACCTATTTTCAATCCTGTCTATTATTTTTCTGAAGCATTGACGCCAGTAACTATTCTTTCCTTGTGTAAACTCTCTCTTTCTGAGATTTCTGGCATTACCATTCTTTTCCTGCCTCTGCTGGATTCTCGTTAATCCTCTTAATCCTTTAGATTCCCTATCATATAGTATATATATCTATGGGTGTGCCTCAAGACTTGGGGAAAGAATACTAAAGATACAGGAAGACTTTTTCCAATTCTTTTTCTGTCACTACTCTCATTTCCTCACATAATTTCAGCTCTCATTTCTATGGTGATAAATATAAAGCAACATCTCAAGGATCAAACCTTTTAATTCAAAGATCTAATCCATATCTTTACTCCACAGACATCTTTAAATCGAAATTCTGCTGTACCTTGACAATCAATGTATTTAAAATAAAACTCCTTATTGCACTTCTACCTCAATTTCCATCTTTTACTTGTACTTCTGTTCCCATGGATATTTTTAGAAAGGTTTTATTTCTCCTTTTCCTCTCTTGGGTTTGGTATAATGAAGATCCAATTTATCCTCAAACCTTTCCCCTAATACTTATTTACAATAACCTAATTCTTATCTTGCCAGATGATTTAATATTTGGTTTTATATTGTCTTGTATTTTCATTTTTAATGTATATATTATTCCCTTTTCAACTGATCTATGGACCCTTTAGAAATGTAATATGTTCAGTATCAAATAGAGCTCTCAAAACTATAAAAATCTGTAAAATTCTTAATTATTGACTGAGTAGCTGTAAAAAAATCACCAATGCTAGAATCAAATTTCTTTATCCTGTTATCTTTTCTTATAGAATTATATATACAGAGTCAGTGCACATATCTCAATTTTCTAATGAAATAACAATCTTAGGTTTACTTGCCTTGTCCTCCAAGTGCAATTCTAAAAAGCGTAGATAAGCCACAGGTGCAAATGCATCAGCTGAATGTATGACTACTTCTGATGAATCCCTAAAATACAAAAATTTTATAATGCATTTATTTACTATATAAGTTATGGCAAATCACTCCTGCTACTGACTAGAAAATACCAAAAATTCTTGTTCTGTATTTATTTCCATGTTGTATTTATACAATATGTTGTGATTAATATATATATTTTAATAATCCAATATGTAATTGGGAAAAGGATTGAGAATACTATCCTTTGAGAAAAAACGATGAAGCTTTTCATCTTTACTTGGACATACAGTTCAACTTTTAGGTTCATTCAAAGCTCTCCAAAAAATTTTGAGACTTAAAATCCTGTTCAATTTCATTTTCACAAATTTTCTTGGTATGGGCTAAGCATTAAACATTAGTGCTTTATCTTCATTATTCTTTTCATTTTCAAGAGGTAATTCATTCAGTGTTTCACACAAAATCTCAATTATCCTTCACAAAAGAAGTACTGGTGATGGTTTTTAAGCTCTAGATGAACTCTTCACATTGCAATATCATTGCTATTAAAATTGATTGTCTGACATAGTAATTACCACATTCAGGTAAAATGGTATGAACTGCTTGCTGGCACCATATGGATACATGTAAATTAACTCAACTTTTATCAAAGATACCCTGTAAAGCACATATGAATAACTAAGATTATGTGTGAAGTTCTAATAACTAATTATTTTTTATTGTTTATTAAGAGAGCAATAATGTTTTGCATTTCAACTAAAAATTTAAAAATAGAAATTCCTCATTTCTCTTAAACGCCTGGGGAAGTGTTCCATTGTTAATAGATTATTAGGATTTTGACAATTGTAGCACAGCAAAATAAATCCTTTCTTTGACTCTTTGCCACTAATCTAAACACATTCTTGATTCACTTTTGTGATGCAAAGTTACTCAGTAGCAACAGAAGAAACCTCAAAATATTTGGCTCTAAAATATTAAATTTTCATAAGCAAAATATGTTTACTTTCCACTTGAAAGATTCAAGATCAAGAAAAAAGTATGTTTGATGATTAAAAAAACCCAAATTATCATTCATGAACCTTTAGTATAAAATATGCATCTTGCTAATGCTTAGGAAAAATAACATTAAAAGGGACTTCTATGACATTAAAAGGAAAGCAACTTATACTGTAACAGAAATAGAATCACTAAAGAGTTGGGATTCTGGTGGAAAGAAAGATATATCTTGCCTTCACAGGCTACATCAACCAAAACATGTCTCCAGGTATGATGAGGAGGAGGAAAGAGAAAATAGGGGAGGCCCTCTTGTTTGCTACCACCTGCCCCTCTTGCTTGACCCCCCCTTGGTTTGTTAGCCCTAACCTTGCTGTTTCTACATTTCCTCCAGAGCTGCCTGCTCTGGTCCTATCTTGGCTCCTTAATCAGATTCAAACCTCAATTTCTCTTTATGATCTCACTCTTATATTAAATTTTAATCTCTCTGTTTTCTGACCTTGGCCTTGGAAACTGACCTCGAGCCTTAATTATGCCTAATCTAGGCAGCTTGATTTTGATATTCTTGACAATGGAGTCCACCAAAACTATAATTAACGTGAACCAATACTATCTCTGCAGAATGGACTTCAGGTTCTCCTTTCTTAGGTTAGTTATTCCCAGTAGAAACAGAAGGATGACAGCAAATAACTTACTTAATTGATGTAATTACTGTACTCTGAATCAAGATTGTTATCCAGAAAGAACATTCTGAGCACTAAATGAAGACGACTGTGATTTTTATGGATTATATTAAATCCATAATCTCTAATTGACTAACATCATTTCATTCACTTATATAAAGCAAGAGTTGACTGGGAGAGACTAGATTGCAAATGAACAGCTTTTAGTTTCAAACAGATTAATGCCACTATTGCTCTTTTCTCTTTCATAAACTATCACCTGACACTCAACTTTCAAGGATCTCTGATTTCTGTTTGCTTCATTGATTTCTCTGAATCTTAAAAGGAGAATCTGTCAGAATATTCTCAGATTAACCCAGAAAATTCAGACCCATTGTGCCACAGCAAAAAGGCTTTCCAGTTGGCTGTCCTCCTCCCATTTCCTTATTAATACAAGTAATCAGTGTGATGGTCATCACCTCTCCTACAGCTGAGGCTTTTCCACAGCTACGAATTCACCCATGTTTCCTTTCATTGCTATGTTAGGCTCACTCCTACTTACAACATCAAAAGGGCAGCTGAATCTGGCCTGAGCCTTTCTTCCCAGATACCAGGCTCCTGAGGTATGGGGTCAGGCTCTACCTCTCACCTCAAAAGAAAAAAGAAAACCTGGTATTATCTTTTGAAACTCAGCCATGGTCTTTGTTTCCACCTCTCCAGGAAAAAGACAACCGCGCTAGCTTGGGGCCGAGGCACTGTTTACCTCTCTTGCTCAAACATACGGTTTCTGTACTCATTAAAATGTACACAGATATTCCCTGTGGACTCACACTTATCCTCACAGACATCTTAAATGTTATTTCCATAAAGCCTTCTCTAACAGCCTCACACAGTGCTAGTTTTCTCCTTTACGTGCTTTAGTACTATGTTTAGAGCCCTTTCACGACATGTCCACTATGTTATAATTATGTATTTGTGCACCTGTCTTCCTTCTGAGGAAGGGAGCAGTTCTGTTCATCTTTGTCTGACTCTGTTCCACCCTACCCGTGGCTCAGTACATAGTACATTGCCTGGTATTCCTTAGACATTTGTTGAATAAATAACCATATAGCCACTTACTCACTGACTTACCAGAACAATTTTCAGTCTTGCAAGCTCCATTCATGGTAAGTGACTTACATAGGTGTATCATTTCTTATCTTTTATACCATATTTTACTGTCCCTTTTCTATGTTTAGATACCCAAATATTTACCATCATGTTCCAGTTGTCTAAAGTATTCAGTATAGTAACATGCTGTACAGGTTTGTAGCCTAGGAGCAATAAGCTATACCATATAGCCTAGGTATGTAGTAGGCTACCATCTAGGTTTGTGTAAGCACATTCCAAGATGTTTGCACAAAGACAAAATCACCTAATGACACATTTCTCAGAACATATCCCTGTCATTAAGTGATACATGACTGTACATACTTTCTGATACATGCATACCGTATATACACATATTCATGTATGTGCACATATGTACCAATAATACCATATAACATCTCTAGCATAATAAAAATGAAGGCTAGTAAGTCTGAAAATTTAAATATAAGGAAAATAGTGCATAAATTTAAATAAAATCCCAGGTGACACAGAATCCATATGAGAAGGCAAATGTAAAGTACTGGCTTTATCTTCACTTTGAAACATCACATTATGGTGCTTAGTACTGAGTCATGTCTTGAGTGGGTAGGAGACATGAGTAGGTGGGGAAAGTGGAAAATGAGTATACAGTGTTTTAACCATAGAATTTAGTCTTTCCTTTATTCCTTCCTTCATTCTTATTCCTTCATCCATCCATCTATTCCACATGTAGCAACTCTGTAGCAGTAGTATAGTAATATTGACAATTCAAACAGAAATATAGGATCTCAAATACTGACATTGAAAAAATGTGTGCATTAACAGAGAGAAGAAAATGATTGCCTTCATTAACACTTTAGGATTTTAGTTTTCAATTCTGAGATATATAAATATAATATATAAAGGTAATAAGTAATGAGAAAGTAGGTTTTTTGAGGACCTACAATTGTCCTCTTTTCTTAAAAGCTAAGCTATAATTCTTTTCATAGGGCTCCTCGTGAAAAAATTCATTTTCTGATTTTGAAATTTGTTTCTAGACATGAGTGACTTCACATACTAATTGACATGAAAATCAAATTGTAAAACATTCTAGGTAGAAATTTTTAAAATTATTTACAGACAAAACTGTTATACCAGTCTTTCCTACAATATTTTTAAAACGTCAGTTGGAATTTGGGCAAAATGTGTCTCATAATAAACTTCTAAAACCACCCCATCTCTCTGAATTACTTCATTGTACAAAAATAATTCAATTGTGTTTTAAAAAATCCCTAATTATAATCAAATAATTTTGCATATAACACTTTTTCTCCCCTTAGAAATGATCTTTTTCTTTTTTTAAATCAAAACAGATGTCATTTGAATCAGACATTTTAAACAGAATTCCTAACAAATGATTGGTTGTATGCTAATTGTGGCAGACCACTATTACATCAAATGTAACAGAAGTTGTTAAATTTGTCCTAGAAATGAATTGTAAATTACAGGATACAGTATTGTCAAAAAATAGTTATAGGGACTAAATTTACCTTTTAATTGTATCATATGGAAGATTATCTCTAAATAAAATGACCTTCATTTACATACAGTTTTAGAATGCACAATGCGTGTTCATTCACATCACCACATTTAGTGCATATCAGGCACGTATGATAAGGACATCTCTATTTTAAGGGGGAGGAAAGATGTTGTATATATTAAGTGAAATCTTTTTTCCACTAAATCAGGATTTTTCCCAACTTATAACCTTTATTTATAACCTAAAAAAGGAATATATAAAAGTAAGTGAAACAGGATATAATAAATAAAAAATAATAAACAATAAATGACAAATTAATTCAATGATATTTAACACACAAGTATTAGTGCCTACTCTATGTTCTGAGTGTCTAGGTATGAGACCTAGCACTGGAGTTGATGGCAGCCAAAGCCTTTAAAAATGGAAGGATTTAGCAAAGTGAGAAGAAATGGCAAGGCAGTCTAGAAAAAAGATATTAAATAAGAAGTTATCAACTGAAGCGAGGCATAGCTTATGAAGGAAAAATGCAAAGAATATGCTTAAGCATAAGAATTAGATTGGTGATTAACTGATAAATAAGTAAGAATGAAGAGGCAGTGCTTCCTTTGTGTTCTCAAGGTACACATCCATATGGTAGCACTTATCACGTATTGTTGATTTGTCTGTCCATCTCTCCTGTTATAGGAAGAACTCCTACAGAGCAGGACAGCAATTTGCAGGGTTCCACCCACATAATTTGCCTCATTAAATGATTATTTGGTTGCCCAGAAAAGCTCATTTTGGCACTAGAGGATTCTAATACACCTTCCCTGACATCTTCTCTTTAACAGCACAACTGATTCCCCTCTTGCCATTGTCTCTGTCAGGCTTAGACTTCCTTGTCTACAAAAAATTGAGGAAAAAATTCATTTTCCAGGTCTAAAGTACTATGATAGACCTTCTGGTTATATAGCATAAAGCAGTAGATGTCTTATAATTCTAGGTTGTCCATAAAGACTTCTAGGTGCTCTAGGACTTCAATGTGTCAGGTGATGACATGTTTTCCTCTTATTGTTATGCTTTTTTTCTAATTTGGTTAGTCCCATATTAATAGTTTTCCATTATACTATAATTTCACCCTAGCATGCAAATGTTTTCCTTGAATATCAAACAGTATTATTTCATAGAAGTAATACTCCATGAATATTTCATTCATGAATCATTTTGTGATCATAATGGCCAGAAGAAATATCTCCCGTCTACAAACTTATGACTTTTATTCTTTACCACCTTGTATTATAATTATACACAGATGTGTCTTCCTCCTACCCCTCTGAAGGCAGAAACTACCTTTGAACATCAATGGTGCCCAGTAGAATGCTTCGGACATAATAGGTACTCGATAAATATTTGTCAAATAAATTACCATTATGTTTATTATTACTGGAAAAGAGGTTAGAAGAATATGAAAGAAGCAAGAGTACATAAATATTGTATATGGTAATGAAAATGTCTTGCCATGTTTCACTAAATAAATGTATTTTTTAGAACATCCACCTAGAGTTGTCTTAATTTTTATCACTCCATCCCTCATTATTAATATGTACAAAGAAGTCAAGTCTTAGTGCTGAAAATATTGAAGCTGTCCATTCAATCTAGCATAATTCTGACAATCTTTTCCAAGAAGCCTAAAAGTTTAGAAAAAGCAGATAAAGTGCTCGCTTAGCATACAAGAAGAGCAACATAAATTAGAGCATGGGTAATAATGTAACAAACTAAAGAAAGTTCCTGTTTTTCACTACACTAATTTTAACAATTTATGGCAAAGAAATCACACTACTCATCATGAACTGAATTCATTTAAAAACAAAGTTTATATGTAAAAATAACCCTAAATAAGTGAAGAGAAATGTTTAGAATTACCATTCTAAGTTGTTAAAGCCAAGAAAAAGGAAAAAGAGGATGGAGTTAATGGAACCCACAGGCTACTGATGTGGCAGTTTATCAAATGTAGCTGTAATGAAAGATAAATAATACAGGCAATTCACACTTCATGAAAGGATAAAAGTGTCAGTGTGTAGGTACCAGTTTTACTGCAGGCCATAATCAGCAAGTAAACGAAAGTGCAATGTCTAAAAAGTTTATAGCCTTCTATGAAGGCCTCGTCTTGTCAGGTATTGATTTAAGTATTCAGACGACTTCACTGGTATTAAACAAATTGAGTGTTTGTGAACTTAGAGGACATGTTCTATTTCTCCCAACAAAAGTTGCCTCAAGCTTAATGTTAAGTTGCTTCCATCACTTAAATTTAAGGAAAGGCAAGAAAATGCTGAAATGATATCTTACACAATTATTTTCTTCTTAAATAGAGGGCAATCCAAAGTGAATGTTTCATATTCTCCACCTTCTCCGCAAACATGGACTCCATACTTCTTAGAAAGCTGAAAACAGGAAAAAACAAAAAAGGAAAAGGAAACAAAATCAGATAGCAAAAATACTCACTTAACCTATATTATTTTGTTCTAAAAAATCAACACAGAAAAGTTTAATTCCAAAATAGTTTGTACTATAGCTTAATAGTAAAATAATTATATTTCTGCTTAAAATATGTGCTTAAAGCCATTCCAAAAATGTTATCATTAAGGTGTAAGATTTCTAATAATCTCAAAACTCTTACAAAAAAAAAAGGTATAAGGGACCAACATTTTTGTTTATAATGTCAAAACTTAAATATTACTGTAAATTTTGGAAATGATACCAGCTATAGATTCAAAGGGAGACTAAGTCATTATGGACAAAATGACAATTGATGCAGCCAAACTGAGCTGCATTGTTTGACCTTTATGTGGAAGGGAAAAAATATATTGTATTTAGAGAATTTCTCAGGCACATAGAGACACCAATCTGAGGCCTTTCCTTAGGCCTGTGAATAAAAAGAAGTCACATACATGGTTATTATGCTTGAGGTTGTTTTTATTAGTAAAGTTCCAAGGGTACTGAGAACTAGTGAAGTTCCAAAACTGCAGATAAGCCTTAAAAAGGTTTAACTCCAAGAACGATTGGGATAGCTTATAAAATTATCTAATCAAACCTGAAATTAAAAAAAAAAAACAAAACAACAGGCAACCAAAGAAACAAAAAACCTACTGATTTGCATTAAATATAAGCCACACTATTTAAATGATGCTGATATTGAGAGTAAAGAAAACTAATTGGCTGATACCTGCCTGGCATCAGGGCTGGGGAGCACCCTCACTGGCTGTCATAGATGTGAACCTTTCAGTTCATGTGTGGAGACTTTATCAATGTGATTCCATCTCCTTCATTTAGAATGTCACAGCTTTCCCTGCTTATGGTGTCTCCTCGCCCAAAGTCATAGACTAAAGAAAAGTGATACCTTTGATGCTCTGTCACTGCCAGTGCTGGGACTGTGGCCTAAGTCTTCAGTTGTATCTGCACAGTTATGCATTTATTTCTTTGGTGATTTTTGTGGTTGTACAACCATTCTGAACCCATTAAATTTCAACTATTGACTACGTGCTCTTAGGGATTTGAAACATGAACCTATGAGAATTCTATTGCTCCCTCCAAAGATCACTAGTAATGGATCAGTAAAGGATCAGTGAATGACACTGTAAAGCCAGAAAGCAAGAAAAGTGAAGGAAAGAAAACAGGACGTTTTTTATTAAGAGCTCATAGGAACAAAGTAGATAAATTTTCACCACACTGGGTCATGAGGTAGAGATGATTCTGATGCAAGGCCAAATTATGAGAGTTGGTTCTAATAGAAGCAGATAACAGGAACAGACTACTTTACCACAGTAAACTAAATTAAAATCTGCTTTGCAATAAAAACATAGGGATGATAACAAGATATGGATTTCAGGAGTGTTTCTTTGTTCTGCCAGCTAATGCCTAGCCCTTTCTATGCTTTGCTGATCACCTAGTCCAACAACTTTCTACCAAGTGAATCTTCTAATAACATCTCTGTAACTTATGGCCAGTCTCTTCAGGTGGGGAGTATATCTTATCAATTATTAGCATCCTTTTATTAGAAAATGTTTTGCTGAAGCTCTGCATAATTTCTGTAATCCACAACCAAAGAAAAACTGAATTTTTATTAAATTCGGCATATCCTATAGGAGTGATTTTGTTAGTTCCTAGTAAAAATAATGTAAGCTGCTTACCCAACATGTTATGATTATAAAAGATGAATATATTCAGGAGGGAACTTACTAAAATATGGATGTACCCATAATATTTTTAGTTTACATAAAATATTTTTATAACATTCATTCATTCAATTGGCTCTTCAACAAATATTTATTGAACAATGATTGTTAGCCAGACCTTGCTAGATGATGAAGATACTAAAAGTTAACAAGATAATGTCCTTGGCCTTTTGAAGCCTACCAAATATGTTACACTCTATATTTTAACACCCCAAATAATGAAGTGGCAGTGATGTTATCTCTACAAATGAATATGCACAGTCTCTTTTCCCCTTCTATTACTGATTCACCAGTATGGAAACAGAGATTTCAAACCAAGTGTAAGGCTGGTGGCGGGCACCCCTCCCCTCCCTAAAGAAAAAAGAGAAGCCCACAAATGACTGCCAGGCTCAGCTGAGTTAAAGAATAACCACAAACGGAGGTTCACCCCGATAAGAGAAGTTTCGGTCCCTGGGGTCCACAGATACCTCCTGGAATCCGCAAATACCACCGGCCCCTCCTACTTCTCAACACCCACCCTAAAACTACAACAAAGAACTCCCCACTTTTCGCGCCAAAATTCTTCGCTCCAAAAAACCCTCATCCCCCAACTCTAAAACATATATAAGCCCGCTCAAAACTCTTGGGCGCGTGACTTGTGCCCCACCTCTCGGGACTGGCGAACATCGCCCGGGAGCGCTCTTTTTCCTCTTCCTCCAATAAAGCCTTGTTGCTTGCCCTTTTCACTCTGCTCGTCTTTCTTTCTCTGGCGCCGACCATCCAAAAACCTTACATCAAGAAATCTAGATAAAGAGCCCAGTGGTTTCTGTGGCTGAGGAACCAAGAAGTAATCTAACTGAATCCTTATGATGTCTTTTGTGACCCCTCTAAACTCTACTGACTTCAAGCTCTAACGGACGTAAGTATTGAGAGAAATTAATCCTTATTGGCTTACTTTTAGTCAGCTCCAAGGCCCTTTGATCTCTTGAGGTGACCTCAAGAAGCAAACCCCATGCTAGCCACTTTCTTTAATGAATTTGCTAAGATACACACACTATTAGAAACCAAAATTCTTGTAGCACAAAAGCATGATGTATAAATGCGATAGAAAGGGTTAGTTTAGGGAAGGGAAGGATCCAGATGTGCACATTCCAAACATATTTATGGTGTACAACCTTCAATTTACTTTTCTAAAACCCGTAAGTCAGTGTTACTAATTCTGTTCATAGAAAATATTCTACATTGTTAATAGAAAGCAGTAACTTTATTACTTGATTCCTAATATATCTCAGGTCTGTCTCTGGCTTCAACTCAAAACTGGGATTATTGTATGCTTGCATTTAATCACTCAAAATACAATTTTTGCAGTTCTCTTTAATAAGTTTCTCTATCAGGATCATTATAATGAAACACACTAAATAGTTAATAGATTTTTTAAAGTTTAACTTCTCACTGAATTTTCATGATTCTTTCCATAATATAAGCATGTAAAATTATAATCTATATTGAAAAATACACATTTTTAATACTGTCTATTCCTTAAGTTATTGGTATATGGATATATAATATTTAAAGTCATGATATTTAATGAGATCAAGAGATGTGTAGAGAGAACCTTAGGGCCAAGGACAGGAACACCACCACATTCTTTATTCTTTAAATGATTAAAATATATTTAACATTTTTAGTGTGTGAAAAGTAGAAGTAGATAGTTATTCTTACTATAACAATAAAAATATACCAGATAGGCTATAAAATCATGCTTTTTGTTTTAAATAGGGAGATCTAAGACACCTCGATAAACTCAGACCAGATTAACCTCAACTGGAAATGAGATTTAGAAGAATAAATATCCCAAGCTAGCTGTCAGACAGATAAAGGGGTGTGGCTTTTTCTGGAGTAAATGGTATTTATTCAGTTTCTACTGTTCCTTTTTATTCCATGCCTACTATAAATTATCTTAAAATATGTCAAAAAATGAAAAAATATTACCTATAATCAAGAGAAAAAAGCCCAAACAAAATAGGAACAGACTGACACATTAACCAAATATTAGACTCAGTAGACAAGGAAATAACTATTATAAATATGTTAAAGAATTTAGTGAAAAAGATAGACAAAATTCATGAACAGTGGTTAGTTTTAGCAGAAATGGACAATCAGGAGTAGATAAATCTAGGTTGATATCCAGGCTCCATTACTTATTGAGCATGGGACCTTGGAGGAATTGCATAACTTTTCTGAATCTCAGTTTTCCCATGTAATACCTACTCTTATGGGGTATTGTATTAAATAAGATGACACATACAAACCTATACGGTATGTTATTGTACTGAATATTGCAGGCAACTGTAAAACAATGGTAAGTATTTGTGTATCTAAAAATATCTAAGCATAGAAAAGGTACAGTAAAAATATAGTATAAAAGATAAAAAATGGTACACCTGTATAGAGTATTTACCATGAATGGAGCTTATAGGATTAAAAATTGCTCTGGGTGAGTCAGTGGTGAGTGAATGTGAAGGCCTAGGATACTACTGTACACTACTGTAGACTTTATAAACACTGTTCACTTAGGCTACATTAAATTTATAAAAAAATTTTTCTTACTTCACTAATAAATTAACCTTAGTTTAACTGTAACTTTTTTACTTTAAAAAGTTTTTTTTTTTTTACCTTTTTGATTCTTCTGTAATAACACTTACTTAAAACACAAACACATTGTCCCATTGTACAAAAGTATTTTCTTTCTTTATATTCTTATTCTATAAGCTTTTACTTTTTGAACTTTTTTGTTAAAAACAAAGACACAAATTACACCCATATTAGCCAAGGCAAACACAGGGGCAGGATCATCAATGTCACTGTCTTACACTTCTGCATCTTGTCCTACTAGAAGGTCTTACAGGAGCAATAACATGTATGGAGCTATCACCTCCTATATAACAATGCCTTCTTCTGGAACATCTCCTGAAGATCCTGCCTGAGGCTGTTTTACAGTTAACTTTTTCTTTTATAAATAGAAAGACTGCACTCAAAAATAATAATAAAAAGGAGGGTATAGTAAATACTAAGTGATAAGATTTTTCAGCTCCATTATAATCTTATGGGACTACCATCATATATATAGTTCATCTTTGACAGAAATGTTGTTATGTATGACTGTAAAAGGGAGGAGAAAGTTACTGACTTCTTTTTCTCGAACCTCAGAAATAGGATAGAACAAAATC